CGCTGTTCGATCTATGACGCTGCTCGCGGTATGAAAAAATTAACGCACTCAAGTCATGCTTCAGACAGTTAAATTAAGGTGTCACGAAAGAAGGCATTCCACTCCCATTATTTTTATTTATTTTACACGTGAATGATTTCGTCGGTGTTGAGGAGACTGTTAATGGGGTCATCTACGCTGATGATACAAGCATTTTATTTTCTGGTCACCCCGCTCTTTATTCAGCAAGTCAACTCGTCATGACTCTCGAATTGATTCTGTTAGGATTCCTACAGAAGACATCCGGTAATAAATGTGAGCCAAGGAAAAGCAATGATGTTTCATCCGCGTCATAAAGAGTCGCCCAAGCGACCTTTATTTTTTATGGTTACATTTTTTGAACAAGTTCAGTCCGCCGAAACTTCAGGTATCCGTTTTTCAGCAACCATGTCAGCGAATGCACACGTCATTTTTTTTGTTTGGAAAACTTTCGCTCACTGTGGGGTTCTTCTAGTAGAACTTGGAAATGCTTATAAGTTGCCCGAAACGCTTAAAATATTTGCCCGAAACGCTTAAAGTTGCCCGAAACGCTTAAAACTGCGCAGTTACCCCGAAAAAGTCTGTTTGCTTCTCCGAAAGACGAAATGTGCGCAAAATATTGTACGCGGCACGGCAAGGAGAAGAACTTTGCTCCTTGTGGATTAAAGCACCCGTTTTTTGGAGCAACTGTACGAATGTTCGCGCCGTGTGCAAACGACCCATTGGTGCCTACACAAGCCTGCTTCCTTTCAGGCGGTGCCATGGCGGTGTATGGTGTAGCAGTTAGTATACGCGCATTCTGACTGTGTAATCGTGAGTTCGAATCCCATGTGTTTACTGCAAATTTTCCGGAATTCCTTTCTGTATGTGGTGCTTGCACATCGATTGTATATCTAATCAAATGCCAGGACGCAGTTCGAAAGGCTGGTGAAGCCAATCGAAACCTTATTTTGCTTTTGCTAACTGTTGCTGCTTTGAGGAGTAACCTCGAGAGCACGGTTACTTTTTCGCAGTTACTTCCTGAATGATGCAGTGCGTGTGGCAAGTTGTTTACACCTCTAAAGGAGCAACCTCGATACCTCATTTACTTCTTAGCCTGTATTTGTCTCATACAGCTGAATTGTTTGCAAAATCAAATACTTTGACCTCCATTGCTTCTCGAAAGCAGTCTGTTAAATGGTGTTTTTATGAACATTCTTTAACACAATGTGATGATAATATTTAGCCTAATTTACTGTAATGTTGAAGGATCTCATAAGAACATGTCACGAACCTCTCACACTGATGGTGCAATGCCAACAGACTATTTTACGTGTTTATCTGTTTAACAATGAAGGTAAATGGCATCAGTCTTGCTAGTGACCCGTACATTGTGTTTCATGGTATTATTTTCAACGTTTTGCTTGATCCTACTATTTTCTTGTGTTTTGAGGGCACCATCCTTATTTCTTATACACCAGTTGAAGGAGTAAAAAAGCCTGCATAGATGGAGTGATGGAAGTTTATGTAATAGTTGGCTGAACTTCACTCGCGTTGTTTTGATTGATTGATTGATTGATTGACTGATGTGGGGTTTAACGTCCCAAAACCACCATATGATTATGAGAGACGCCGTAGGGGAGGGCTCCGGAAATTTCGACCACCTGGGGTTCTTCAACGCGCACCCAAACCTGAGCACACGGGCCTACAACATTTCCGCCTTCATCGGAAATGCAGCTGCCGCAGCCGGGGTTTGAACCCGCGACCTGCGGGTCAGCAGCCGAGTACCTTAGCCAATAGATCACCGCGGCGGGGCACTCGCGTTGTTTTGTCTGCTGCCCGGTGCTTACCATTGTGTCTTTTTTTTAAATGAAGTTTGTGTCACCTCGCTAAAAATCTTCTGCCAAAGTGTTAAGTTTTACATATTTCAAGCAGTGTCTGTTACTATCAGTGTAAGTGGACAGTCACCTAGCCTAGAAAGTCGCAGCACTATAGTACAACTAATAATAACTCTTTCCGCTGGCGAATCGATTAATTCCGAACTTCGTTATTATACAGCGCTATTGAGTGACTTCATCGGGCAGTGCAGTTACAATGATCACTGCAGAAGATCTATGGAATTGATAGTTTTATTTTATTGAAATATATATAAGACATTCCCTTCATGTACACGCACTTGAATACGAAGCGCAAATACGCTTCACGTAATCGTCTGCGCTTGGATGAATGCGTATGTTCACGATTCTGCGGGCTTCGCGTCTTGTTCATCTCCCTGGTTTCCCTTCGTTTTCTTCTTCTTTCCTTTATTTCTTCCTGCGGGCTGACGAGGATATCATATTTCAGAGCTAAGTGATCGATTCTTCGCGTTAATGACTGAGCCGATAATGATACGTGGGGTTGAACGTCCCAAAACCACCATATGATTATGAGAGACGCTGTAGTGGAGGGCTCCGGAAATTTCAACCACCTGGGGTTCTTTAACGTGCACCCAAATCTGAGCACACGGGCCTACAGCATTTCCTCCTCCATCGGAAATGCAGCCGCCGTAGCTGGGATTCGATCTGCTACCTGCGGATCAGCAGATTGAACCAATAATTACGAAAGAGCCAGGAAAGTTGTATCCACGCGATGTAAACGTAGCGAGTAGAACGCAACAAGAGTACGTTACAGGTGCCAGTAAAACGTGAAGCGAAGCCTGCCGTTGTTATCGAGAAGCATTCAAAAAAGGCAAAAGATCGGCATGACGAAAACAGTAAAGAGAGCGCTACTTTTGCGAGGTGCCGCGAATTCACGTATTTCGACACGCGAACTTCGAGCAACCTGTTCAAGGACAACAAGGTCGCTATCAATCGCTGTCCTTGACACAGTCCTTGCTTCATCGCCCGCCGTGGTGAAAGCATTTATTTGAATGAAAGCACGCGTTATGCGACCTCGTTCACCTGACATCTTCAATTATGCATGCGTTCTGTTCACTTCTTTCATAGCTTGCGCAAACGTTGAAACGCAGCCTTGTCTACTTTACCGCAATGAATAAAACTTTAGGAAAAATGACCACACCTACAAAACAATTAGGGAAAATTTTGTGGGGCCGGTACTTAGCTGCATGCTCAGTGCATTTTTTTTTATTTAGTAATAAGAGGCGTATTGCTCTGTGATGATTTCACCTGAAATGTTTATGCTACCTGTCCGCGTTAACAGTGACAAAGAAATCTTCTCCCTGACGGTAAATTGAGAACCTCTGCCAGCGTTCCCACAGGGTAAGTTTTTGAACGTGGCTGGAAAATCCGCCACCTTTAAAACGCTCTCAGCCTTCTCCTCCAGAAGTTTATAAAGGTGGCGGATTTTTCTGTAAGGTGTCTGCATTGAGATCACGCATTTGAGAAAAAAAAAAATAGGTACTACTAAATATACATTTTCCATGCAATGAAAAATTTCCATGATAAGAAATAAGTTTCGCCTGTTCATCAAAAATTGAGAATCGTGAATTTAGTTGGTTTGCGCCCGTAGAAAGAAGGTATTTAAAAGTTCCGAGCACTCGAGTGACTCCGTGGAAGAACACATCGCAGAACTCATGGGTTAGAATGCGGTTCCACTTTTTCTTTTCTTATTTGCGTCCATCGCCATTTTCTCTCCCGGACACGGGAATTTTCACGAAACGGGCACTTTAAATTCACGTAAGGAAGACAGCACTATAATGTCTTGGGAAACACGATGACAAGTTCGGTCTTTTAACGACCATTCTGTCTTTTCAGACTCTCTACAAGTTTGTAGTGAGCACAAATTTAAACGCGACATTTTTATTTTGCTTTCTTATGTGTACCGAGTGATGTGAGCAATTGCTCTTGGGAACATCACCCCGTCGCTGAAAATCTAGCCCCTGTAAATGTTGTCGGCTATTATGTCAGTGTTCGAGTCAAAATTACGCTGACGTGACGAACTGCAGACGCTGCAAATTCAGGTATGCTCGTTATATAGCCCTCTGATTTTTCGTTTCAATTCGTAAGTGTTGTGCCCCCACAAAACCAGAGTTTCACATCAATCTTACGGGCCTGTGCTAGAACGAAGCCGGACCCTTTCTGCGCGGCCTTTGCTCACAAAGGTCGTTGGTAATGACCGGGATGTAGAGCACAAAGAACCGGCGCCAGTTCGAATGACAGGCTTGACAGGCGGTTCCATCATACGGAAGAAAGGGGAGAAATAGAGGCCGGTTAGGGCCCGTCGCTACCTGGATATTGACATTTATGCCGACCACGTAGAGGGTTTCCGTTTGTTCCGTGCACCGGCCGTCGAATACATTTCCGTCGGCACCAAGCGAAGAGGCGTGCATCGAATGCGGTGTCGGTTTCGGGCGTCTGCCTTGAGCGGCGCAACAAAGCATTAAAGTTACGTAAAAATAATAAAAAAACGCATATACAAGTCACCGACTTGAAGATCAAAGAGTGAACTCTGGTTGCTCAAGTCCTAAGGTCTCCTCGGTCACACACGCAGAAGCATTTCTACATAAACGTGACATTTACGGTAAACGAAAAAAAAAAAAGGGCACTGAATCTCCGGAGCTGTACCTAGCCGATGTTGCTTAATGACGTCTAATTGGTAGACAAAACGAGCAAGTAAACGTATGCTTGCGTCATAGCAGAAAGTTGTGACACACGTCATACAGGAAGAGCAGAAATGTTACTATGAGAATTACGGCGCGCTATTTAAAACTAGTGTTTTCGTGCTCGCCACATGTTCTTTTGCGTTTTTTTTCCTGCACATCCCTGCAGTTTATTTACTTTTTTTGTTCGAGGCTGACAGATAAAAAAATGTTTTTCGCAGCAGCGTTGATCCGTATCGACAGCTTTTGATTTGTCAAGTCCAGGAGCTTTGCGCCAGTTTTAAACAAACAAGCGTGTGTATACGGTTAATACATTATCCCGTTTAATGAAACACGTCCTTTGGCAACACCGGATGCAATGGTGTGCATCGCTGGCGGGAAAACTTGACGATCGTGTCAAACTCACCGTCATCAGAGCATTCAGTCGGGCCGACGTCGGTGCTCGCTATCCCAATGCCGCACACTGTAACCCTTCAGCCGGGTTCAGAACCGGGAGTACCAACGCACAATTATCCAGCGCATTCGGTGAGCGACGGCGGGTAACGGTGGCTCAGACTTTGAAATCGTCACTCCAAAAGCCGGCGTATCTACATTTTTTTTTTTTTTCAGAGCTGGCGAATACAACCGCAATCGTAGTCCGGTGAGGAGTTCGGCTTTGCACCGCACGCAGAAGCCGTCAGAACGAATGCGCGACTTCGCGCGCTGCTCTTAGCCGTCGCTAGATCAACAGGCTGGTCCCGCAAGCGCTTTAGCGGCGCGCGCGATGGCACGACTGTTCTCCAGATCCGACGGCTCACCGCCTGACACTTCTCTCGGCCGGGCAAAGCGGTGAGGGAGCTGCTTCGTGGGTTGGAAGAAGAGGGGAGCACCAGAGTGCGCGCGCCGATATCCACGCCTCTTTTCGCTGGCCGGTAAAAAAATATTCAAGAAAAAGTACGAGCGAACGCGAAGCTAAATAGAAGCGGGACGAGCCGGAGAGTGGCTCCATCTGGGGGCTTGCTACGGCAACATCAATATGCCCGAGTTCGTCGTCTCCCGCGCTTCTTCTTCCACAGCGAGATGCGATGCGCCGCCTGCGGTTCCCCTTCTCCATCCTCTCGGATCTCTCTCGGTTACCTTGGCCGCGTTCCATCATCGGGCCTGGCCAGCTTCGATGCTAGCCGTCGGCACGATGCAGAGCGGGAGGATGGAGAGTGGAGAAATTGATCCCTCCTGGGCGATAAATGCCAGCTGGTAGCAGGGAAGACGCTCTCTAGCAACGAAAAAAAAAAATGATGGGAGTATATTATGTTGTTCGTTTGTGTACCCTTTTTTATTTCCGGAAGATCTATCTATCTATCTATCTATCTATCTATCTATCTATCTATCTATCTATCTATCTATCTATCTATCTATCTATCTATCTATCTATCTATCTATCTATCTATCTATCTATCTATCTATCTATCTATCTATCTATCTATCTATCTATCTATCTATCTATCTATCTATCTATCTATCTATCTATCTATCGAAGGTCATACAATTTACACGTATAAATGTATGTTTTTTTATCGTTAGTTGCCCGTCATACATGATAAGCTTCTTTTATTATTGCGCGCGAATAACCTTCCGGCCTGTGGCTTATGTATAGCTAATCTTGTTGTGCTTTAGCGTGATACTTTCTTGATATTACAACGTATTGGCAGTGAAGACATGTTATGTTGAGTAGCGTCTGCAGTGTCACAGCATGTTCTCCTAATCAGAAGAAAATATTCATCAAAATCAATAAGATACCTCCTATCAGTCACGGGTGGTCCCGTATGGAGAAGGTGTTCGTTAGACATTGATAAGCGCACGCATAAATGCGCCAGACGGCGATAACTTGCATGTTTAATGAATTGTGATAAATGGTTCATTAACTATTTGAGTGACGCTAATTATCACTGCGAGCTGTAATTCGTGGTATAAACGGGGAAGCACACTTATACGGCAGCAGTCGACCATTAAGTTGACAAAAGTCGGCTTGTCTTGTAAGCAGCACCAGTTGAACGAATGACTCGTCTGGTGCACTGCTGATGAGAGCAGCGATTTTTCAGTTTCTTTTCAATTTATACGGTTGTCATTGCCAACACTCAGCGAGGGCTTACTGTCAATGAATAAAAATTATTTCCTTTATGCATCTGAACTCGTGCGAACTCGTGCATCTGAACTCGTGCGAATCGTCGCAGTAAATTGCCCCTCACTAAAGTGGGAGATATCTGCACCTCTGCCAGGCGAGCTAAAATGGTTCCCAATGCTTGAATATTTTCTTTTATTGCGATAGCAATTATATGGACACTCTCGGCGGGATTTCGCCGCTGGCGTCGTCGTCCATGTCTACACCGTATATGTATACGTAGCTATATATATGAAAACGCAAGAAAGAAAAAAAATTCAAGAAAAAATGGCCTTGATCTGCATGTTAATCAGCAAATGTCGTCGAAAGACGATAGTCTTGCATGCGGAGAGAGTGAACAAGACATTTATTTGATGTTCTGCGCAAGAAAATCGGTGAATGGTATTCTGGAGGCGCTACGTTAGAGTGCCTCGAGCGTGCAGTGGAGACGAACGAGCGCATCAAGTCACGTCACACGTAAGATATGAGCGCAATCTGGTATTTTTCGTGGAAAACGAAGCGCGTGGCTCTGAGATGGTAGTGCGCGTCCGTCACAGAGGTGATAAGGTGTAGAACGCAAGGCGATGGGCAGGTGCCACCACTTTCTCGTCTTAGCAAAGCGTTGGAAACACTCACCTATTTGTGCAAACGTTGCATGGTGAGCGCAGCGTGATAAGCGCTACGGTCCTTAAAATTACTTCTGTTCACCTTTTATAGTAAAAGACGCACATGCAGAATAAATACGTGTTGTTATGTTGCCCCAGAAATGCGTAATAATTGCTTCTTAATTGACAATTGCACAAACATGAACGCTAAATCTTGAGCAGCAATGGTGAGCGCTGCGAATGGGGTCGGCCATTTCCAATACCCAGTGCCGCTTAAGTGGACAAACAGACACATGCACAGACAGACAGACAGACAGACAGACAGACAGACAGACAGACAGACAGACAGACAGACAGACAGACCAAATGTTTTGCGTCGAAGGTCCCCAAGAAAGACTATCATATTTAAAATACTTGAAGCCAATAGCTGTCGCTCGCTGGCGAGACACCTTGTTTGCCTACACCAATGTCCGTGAAATTACTTTCTGATGCTTTATTCCGTCCTTTGAGTCGTGCCTTAACAAGACAGACATGACATTGATGATATGTTTGTCTTCGTACACCTCGTTATCCAAGATGCGTCGGTGAACACGTGACCAGACTAAGAGGCTCAAAACCTTCACCCAAGGCGGCACTTATCTATGAAAAAAGTTCTTCAATGTCTAACCAGGCGAAGTATAATTTCCCAGTTTTTATGGAAGAACACAAATACTGCGCTCAAGTTGAGTTTAACGTTTGAAGCGGCTTGAGCTTATTTTCAAGATTTTGACCAGGCTCTCACCAGGCATAGCCAGCAATGGTCGACGCTAACAAAGAACTGTTTATTAAGCAGTTTGATCGAGTGGAAGTAGGACGCACAACTTCCCTAGTTCCAGACTGTTGAACAATCTTGTCCAGTCTCTGCAAAATTGTCTCTATGGTTGATCAAATTGACATCGGCACCTTCTTGGTGGTCTGGTAATGGTCACACGCACTTGCCACAGTGATTAAAAGCAGCATTTTTCTAGATGCAAGCCTTCACGAGTACTACGCCGTGGGGAATGACCTGGCCTACTCTTCAACGCGTTCAGCCGTTCAGCACAGCAATGGACGTGGCCTGGCTAATGGTAATAAAAGTAGCATCCAGTGGCCATGCTAATGACCATGGTTGCGCCGAGCATTGCGCCTCGACGCAAGCTGTTTGTTGGGCGGGTTTGCCATTACATGCCTGGATGATCGCGTCTCCGGTGCGGATTGGATGCTCCGTAGTCGGACCCACGCCATCAAGCATCGTCGACTCCAGACCGTCACACTTCGAGACGCACCCCACGCCACATCACCTTTCGTAACCTCCCGCCTGGAATCTCAGCGTCCATTGTACCGCTTATCTTGGCGTCAGGCATTCATCGTCAGGCACCCATCGTAACGTCAATCATTCTGCTCTCTCACCACCATTTGATGATCCCAAAGGGCTTAGATCTGAAAATTCCCCTTGTTAGAACAACTATGAGAACAGCTTTTGGAATCCTTAAAAATAAAAAGGCTGTAATTTATTTTCCCATTAGAAAATAATGCACCATAGACAAATTCACTTACGGTGAGATGAGCGGGACAGACGCATTTCGTCTTGTGTGTGAGTGGAAGGAGGTGGGGTAGTAATACTCAAAAAGGGAAAATGAAAATAAATGTGACCCCGCAACTGTCTGCGTCCGAGTGCGACACCTCAGCAGTAGCTCACAAGGGAAAGGATACAGAGAGTAGTGAAAATTGAGAGAAATGTAAAATATTCGTAAATGGTTAGGGAAGTCCATGGATGGTGCTCCGATCAGCGAGTGGTGGCCGAAGAGAGGACATCACGGACGAGGCAACCGGGCCCCACAACACGCGCCGAGTGACTCATTTTGTCCTTCATCGCATACGTCTGCATTTCTGTGTATATTTAATGGCGAAGCCTCTAATAAAGGTCCACGGAAGTTAGCTCCTGTCCATGTCTCTCGGCCCATGCGAATGTCAACAGTTGTACTTTAGTTTTTTCGCGAATGTGCTATGCATCCTTGGCAAGTACTATATTGGCTTTGCTCACGGCAAATCATTATTATATGAAAAGCAATTAATGTTTTATTGAAAATAGAAAGCTCATGACTTCAAAACAACAATTCGAAACAACTAAAAACAAGTATGAAACGGTTTTTCCAAGGAAAATTGTATAGGACGTTCTCATTTATTCGCACCCGCATCGTAAAGCTTAACGTGGACGCTGAACTCCCCAAGCAAGCGCACTGATCTGGAAACGTCCGGACTCAAAATAACGAAGCAGTAGCATGCAAATCGATAATCATAAAGTATTGTGCGTTATTAACTCACTATCCTATGTTAATTATAAAGTGTTATTCAAGCTTTGGCAGAGTTCTTGAACATATAAATAGGTTGACAGACGAAACATTTTCGAGGTCGCAAACTCAGTGCTAGCGGTGTTGAATGCATAAAGCTATGAAAAGGAGTGATGATTGCATTAAACCACGTGTGTCACTGGTACTTGGATTGACTTCACAGAGCGATCCGAAAAACCTGCAAGAATGAAAGAAGCAGTCATATTAAACGTTGCCTTAGTGAGATATCTTTTCAGCGAAGGTTATTGACCCTATCTTCAAGCAGAGCCACTTTCTTAATTAAATGCTTACGTTGCCAGCCTCGGCAGAAAATATAACGCTGACATCACGTGCGATGCTGGCATATGCTTACGGAGAATGAGGGCTGGGCAGTACTTAAAATACATGCATCTGAGATACTCGTTAGGCATCTTGTATTTCTACAATACGTCTCACATGATGAGTATCTGTATCAGTATTTCCGATGCATTGAAATGTGCATCATGTATATTAGATATAAGATACTGGTATTGCTAACTTCAATGCGAAACAATAATCGCTGACTCACATCCACTTCTCAAGCTAGTACGGGTTCCTATAAATTACCTATATAAACGAAGGGCAGTGACATGCTTTTATATTTCCGTCAACCAGCGTCATCAGGGGATGCCTTCACGTCCCTTTTGTTGCAGCTGGGATACATGACCACATTCGCGCAG